TGGCAACTCTGTGAATTGGTACTAAAGTCCTCTCCATTTCATAGATAAGGAAATTGTGTTTTCTACCCACTGGTAGAGCGAGGAGTATCCAGTTCTGCTCCTGAAGGCTGTGCTCTGAACACTGTGCTTATTATAGGTTTTTTTTTTCTTTAAGATTTTTGAGACCAGGTTTCTTTGTATAGCCCTAGCTACCCTGGAACTTGCTCTGTAGACCAAGCTAGATTAAACTTGTATGTCACCACTGTCCAGAATCTTATTATATATTCTTATTCTTATCGTAGTCTTCCTTCTCTGGGGACACATTCCCAGATGCCTCCATATGTGGGAGTCTTTTTTTAAATGATGTTTTGGGAGCTTTGCTTGTTTGACTTTTGCTGCATGGTGTTAGGTTGGAACCCATGACCTTATTCATATGTGACAGGAAGTCTAACACTGAACTTCTATGATTTTCTATAAATGCCAGGATATAGCTTGATTGACATGCAACAATAAAAGTAAACAAATTATAGCAATATACTATAATGAAATATATGTAAACTTATTTGATCTTAATTTATTTTAGAAAAATATTTATTACTATTATTAGTATGTATGAATTGGGGCTTCATGTGGGAGGGTAAGTATGTATCACAGAACACTTTTGCAACTTCCAAGAGTCAGTCCTTTCCTTACACAATGAGTTCTAGGGATTGAACTTAGGAAGTCAGGCCTAGACAGAAAGTACTTTTACCAACTGAGCTATCTCACTGCTCCAGAAAATGCCTTATTGTACTATATTTATTCTTGTAATGATGCCTGGTGAGATAGTGCCTGCGTGTTGAAGTGAGTAATCCAGGCATGGTCATGTAATGTGGCCTTAGGTACTGTTCAACTTCTCTATCTATCCATCCTTGTCAAGCTATTCTGAGTACCACAATAAAACCTCGCACTATCCTGCTCCATCACAGCCTGTTTCATTAAACAGACCTTTGTCCTATATCCATGCTTCATTGACACTTGGTAGACATTTTAGTGACCAAATCACCTGTCATGTTATTACAATGCTTATGTTATAATATCCCTTAGAACAGTGTGCAATTTGAATATTGCACATTGTTTATTTCTAGAAATTTCTATGTAATAATTTTAATTGGAACACTATAGGAACTTGAAAACACAGAAAGAAAATCTGTGGGCCAGGAAGAACTACTGTACTTGCATTACAGTGAGATTTTGTTTGGTTTGGTCATTCAGTCACCAGTAGATAACTTTGAACACTTTAGCTATTATGAATAATGCTACCATGAACATGTGTATGCATGCATTTATTTGAGTATCAATTTTCAGTTCTTTTGGGTTTTGACATACATTGTTGTGGGATAGTTCTAGACCATTGCCTTTTGGCAGAAGCAATTTGAGTAGTCTATCTATAGCATGGTGAAAAGTCACTGGACCCTGAATCCAGAGTCTTCTGATGGAGGTCTAATTTTGCCAATTACCAATTTCTTGTCTCACATCTCCAGATCTCCTTCCGGCTATGCACATGGCCTTCAAGAGCCTAGTTTTATCAAGTGGAGAAAACATGTCTCCTCCGAGACACAATGAACAATCCATAGCAGCCATCATGCAGATATTAAGTTTTTTTTTTTTTCTGATATAGGTTGTGATGTAGTTCAGGCAGGCCTCTAGCTTGCTATGTAGTTGAGGATAACCTTGTTGCTGATCTTTCTGCCTCTACCACCTGAGTGAGGCGATTATAGGTATGTACCACTACTGCCAGTCTAGACAATGCTGAGGGTGAAGCCCAGAGACGCCACCTGGGCCATGTCCATAACCAAGTCATTAGCCTTATATGTGTTTTTTTTATACTTACCGGTTACCTCCATGCAACATGAAAAAAGCCATTTTGATGATTTTCAAATGTCTTACTGTAATAGTTTATAGCACCATCAATTCAACATCTCAACCATCATCAAAATGGTGGGATTGACCGTGAAAACTGAAGACATACTGAAAACACAAATGTTTTAAAAGTGAAAATGGCACTTGGCAGTGGTGGCGCGCGCCTTTAACCCCAGCACTCAGGAGGCAGAGGCAGGAGATTCTCTATGAGTTAGAAGCCAGCCTGGTTTACAGAGTGAGTTCCAGAACAATCTCCAAAGCAAGTGAAAATGCTTTGGATTTGAGGGCTTGAATGTTGAGGCCCTGAGTTCCCAGTACGGCAGGGGTAGATAAAAATAAGGGTAAGATTGCTGAGCTGACAATGATGCTCAGTTCCAGACTCACAAAGATCTCCCTTTCCTAAGAAATGAAGAATATTAGGTCTCTGTCTTCACCTGTCTCTGGCCCTAGCTCTTAGCTGCTTCCCTAAGCTCCAAGAATGCCAGTACCAACCCTGACCTTAGCCTTCACCAAGGAAGAAACAGTTCTTTCTCGTGGCTGGCAGCCCCTCAGTTCATCTGGTTCCCAAAGATGTACTGCACCAAGATAAACTGTGACAAAGTCTCTCTGTGCATCAGTATGATTCCTTTTTTAATTCCATTGAAACATTACTTGACAATTAGGAAAACTCACTGGACAACACGCAGCAGGGACCCATTAAAACCTTGCTTTGGTGGATACAAAAATATACTCATTTTCACAGATTTAAATACATCTCTCTCTGCAAAGGGCTGCGTGACAGATGGCTTCAAAGCGAGTCACATTTACAAACAGCACACAAAAATATTATTTAGCAGATTCTCGAAGAGTTCTTCAGAATCCTCCAGAGCCAGTCTTTTTCACCAGCTCTTTCGCTTGTAATATGCAGAGGTTCATGAAAATGTCTTTGGACTTCCCAACAACGTCCCTGTGTCTTTCCTGGGTTTCCAGAATAGGAAAGTTCTAAAGCCATGGACTTGGCTCAAGTGTTATTTTAGAAAATGTTACCTTGGCATGAAAATTAGCAGTCCTTTTCCCCAACATATCTCTAAACCAAAACCCAGGGGGCGGGGAAGAATACAGAGATTGTCATAGGAGTTATGAGTCATGTGTACAGCTACTCGATTTTCTTCAAGTCCTCAAGCTAGCCAAAAGCCTGGTGCAGGACCTCATGCCTGTTATCCCAGGATTTGGAAGGCAGGGACAAGAGGCCAGAAAATGTAAGTTAGAGGCCAGCTGGAGTCATATAGTTCCAGCTAGCCCCGGAATACAGAGTGAGACCCTGTCTCAAAAAGCCACGGCAGGGAATTGGATGTAGGTCAGTTAATGGAGTGCTTGCCTAGCACAGGTGAAGCCCTGGGTGCCATCCCCAGTACTTTGAAATTGGCCATGGTAATGCTGGCTTATAATCCTAACACTCAAGTAGCGGAGGCAAAAGGAATAGAAGTTCGAGGCTAGTCTCTACTATATAGGAAGTTGTAGGCCAGCCTGCGTTACATGAGACATTATTTTAAAAAATGAAAACAAAAATGGTTCCATGTAACACCACCCACAGATAATAATAATAAAAGTCATAAAACAAGGAACACCTCCCAGACAGCTCCTGTAAAATTGAAATTTAGAGTAAAGTCACATATTGAGCATACATACTGAACAGAGAAGAAGTCACAGCCTTGAAAACGACCTAAACATCAGCTCACAAGGCAGGCAATGTGTGTTAGATCCAGATAGGCAGTGTGTGGTGGGGTCACTGTAGGCAGGTCCTGACCACAGGAGGTATTTATAACACAGGGGCCTCAAACGGGGCAGGTGGAAGAGTGAGTTCATACCAGAAAAACAAAATGGCTTGAACCTTGCGATTATATCCAGTTCAAGGCCTGCAAGCCACTCATGGCCAAGAATAGCTATGAGGATAGCCCAGCACAAAACCATAAATTTGCTGAAAACATTACAAGATGGTTTTTTTGTTTGTTTGTTTTCTTTTTTGTTTTGTTTGAGAAAGGGTTTCTCTCTGTAGCCTTGGCTGTCCTAGAACTCCATAGACAAGGCTGGCCTCAAATTTATAGAGATCCACCTGCCTCTGCCTCCCCACTGATGGAATTAAAGGTGTGTCATTGCCCAGCTGAGATATTGCTTTTATAATGTGGAAGGGTTGGATTCCCCTGAGAAAGAATGAGGGTTTGAGATGGCAGAAGGAAGAGAGTATGACACATTATGTCTTGAAGGGGGTTAGAAAGGAAGAAAGGGACAAATAAAGTATGAGCTGAACCTTTCCATCAACAGCATTATCTTTGCATGGAAGGAAGGATGCTTGCCACAATGGTCAAACCATCAACAGCCACCAGGTCACAGAGACTACCTTCCTTCCCTTACTGTCAGCCTTATCCTGAAAGCAACAGGATTCATGACATATTTAACACATGGATTGACAAGGAGAAGAGAAAGCCTTATCCATAGCACCACTGGGGCTTGTCGGCACTCCACAAGGAATTGGTACATTTGCAACTCTGCCACTGAAAATTGTCTGTTTTTTTCCTCCCACTCATGTTCTAGAATTTTATTTATAACACTTTTTGGCCTGCTCTTTAAAGTGTGTGTGCCTCTGTGTGTGAGAGACTGAGAAACTAAAGTACTCTATTAAGCTTGGAGCTTCTGGAAAGCAGGCCCCATATACATTCCAAGTATTATAATTATGATCCATTATGCATAAGGAGCAGTAATATAGACGGTGCCCACCCCCCATTCTGGTAGCACCATCTTGCTTCTGCCTCCTAAGCAGAATGTGAGTCTAGCCACAGCTTCTGGTCCTGGTCCCAGGAAGGCTGCCTGACTCCAGGTCCTGGAGGCTTTCCGGAACACTGTCACCCAGGTCCTGGAAGGGACTTCAGAGAATCCCCAGACTCAGTTCTTTGCTGTCAGATAGGTCTAGCACATGACACCTTTTGCGTCAAAAGAGAAAGAGGTCACTAATGTCACCGGACTTCAGAGAAGTGACAAAAGGTCAATACTTTGGCCACATTGAGACAAGAGGGCCCCCCATCATGTTCCCTGGCACAAGGCTGTATTTTGGACACAAACCCGAATAACCCTGTGCCTTTTCAATGGGTGAGACTCGAGCTGGGACTGGAACAGTGCAGGACTTCCCATCCACAGGCTCTTCCTCTGGTCCACAGGGAGGTAAAGAGCAGTTTAGCCTGGCTTGGGACTGGAGAGGCTGCTGAGGGTCGACAGCAGCCTCCTGGCTCGTAGTTTACCCATTCACTGCTACAGTGAAATTCAATAGAGCAGACCAACAAGCTTGTCCTTGAGCCACTACTCTGCCCTTTTGTTCGTAAGCGACCTTGGGAAAGTTAATCTTTCTCAGCATCATTTTACGTGGGCACAAAACAGCAACAAAAATAGTACATTTCAGGGCCAGTGAGATGGCTCAATGGGTAAAAGTGCTTGCTGCCAAACAAAATATACAAGAAGGAGTTGGCTGCACACCTATAATCCCAGCACTCAGGAGGCTGAAAGCAGAAAGATACAGAGTTCAGGCCAGCCTGAACTACATAGCCAATTAAAGGAAGCCTGAGCTCTGAAGCAAGACTCCAATGTCTCACAACAAACAAAAGGACATGATGGGTCTGTCTAAATATCTAGCAATGCAAACACTGGTTAAAATTCCAACTGGGAAAACATTCTGTTATAGAAAGATGGGCTTGAACAGCAAATCTTACAAGATCTGGGGCTTTATTTTTGGTTGTATTGCTGTGTTTTTTTTTTTTTTTTTTTTTTTGTTTTTGGTTTTTCAAGACATGGTTTCTCTGTATTATTGCTTTGGAGGCTGTCCTGTAACTCAATCTGTAGACTAACTCGAACTAATGGAGATCTGCTTGCCTCTGCCTTCCTAGTGCTAGGATTAAAGGCGTGCACCATCACCACCACTTAAAAACTGGAATTAAAGGCATGCACTACTACTGATAGGCTAACCCAGAGTCTTGATTGTCTTCATTTACTTTGAAAGCCATACTTTCCACCAGAATAACTTATTTGAAATATTAAGTGAATACTTGAGGTAAAATGGCAGGCATAGAGCCTTACATAACATCCGCAATAATTATTATTTCTATTGTAATTATAGAACAGGTGGTCAAATGCAAGATGTTTGCATATCGTGCATATGAATCCTGGGTTTGGTCCTCAGCACTGCATAAAAGAGACTTAGGGGTGTATGCTTAGAATACCAATTTGGAAGCAAGAGGATAAGAAATTCAACAAGAGCTGGGCATTGGTGGTGCACGCCTTTGATCCAAGCACTCAGAAGACAGGGTCAGGTGGATCTCTGTGAGTTCAAGGCCAGCCTGGTCTACAGAGCTAGTTCTAGGACAGGCTCCAAAGCTACACAGAGATACCCTGTCTTGAAAAACTGGAAAAAGAAAATTTCAGGGAGAGTACAAGGGTTTTATAAAAAGGGAAGAATGTGAAAAGAAAAGCGAAAGAGGAGACTTTACAACTTTTATCCTTTCCACAAAGCTCAACGCCGAATAGATACTTTGCCCCCAAAGCCTATTTAGTCAGCTCAGAAAGGTGTGGAATTTTCCCCAGACTCCAATGCTGGCATTTGTCAACCTGATCCTTGAGCCTGAGGCCCACTAGGGAAAGAGCAGGAGGGCTGTTGTAATTCCTCCAAGCCAAAAGTTAATGAGGCAATGGAGAGGCCCTTCCTCCGGGCATACAAAAGCAGGATTCTCCCCTCAAGGAACTTAGACTCGCTGCTGGGCTCTCATTCCCTCCCTATCACACCCACTTGTATGTGCTTTTTTTTAAGGACCCTTGAGTCTTTTCTTGAGAGAATTGCCTGGCTGTCTCTAATTAGGCCTGTAAAGTCAGTGGAGACAAGGGCCCTGGCTTCTTTCATTCCTTTTGTTCCCCTCTCCTCACTGCAGCGGAGCAGCCCTCCCTCCTCACTGCAGCACAGCAGTCCTCCCTCCTCACTGCAGCACAGCAGTCCTCCCTCCTTACTGCAGCACAGCAGTCCTCCCTCCTCACTGCAGCACAGCAGTCCTCCCTCCTCACTGCAGCACAGCAGTCCTCCCTCCTCACTGCAGCACAGCAGTCCTCCCTCCTCACTGCAGCACAGCAGTCCTCCCTCCTCACTGCAGCACAGCAGTCCTCCCTCCTTACTGCAGCACAGCAGTCCTCCCTCCTCACTGCAGCACAGCAGTCCTCCCTCCTCACTGCAGCACAGCAGTCCTCCCTCCTCACTGCAGCACAGCAGTCCTCCCTCCTCACTGCAGCACAGCAGTCCTCCCTCCTCACTGCAGCACAGCAGTCCTCCTCCTCACTGCAGCACAGCAGTCCTCCCTCCTCACTGCAGCACAGCAGTCCTCCCTCCTCACTGCAGCACAGCAGTCCTCCCTCCTCACTGCAGCGCAGCAGTCCTCTCTCCTCACTGCAGCACAGCAGTCCTCCCTCCTCACTGCAGCACAGCAGTCCTCCCTCCTCACTGCAGCACAGCAGTCCTCCCTCCTCACTGCAGCACAGCAGTCCTCCCTCCTCACTGCAGCACAGCAGTCCTCCCTCCTCACTGCAGCGCAGCAGTCCTCCCTCCTCACTGCAGCACAGCAGTCCTCTCTCCTCACTGCAGCACAGCAGTCCTCCCTCCTCACTGCAGCACAGCAGTCCTCCCTCCTCACTGCAGCACAGCAGTCCTCCCTCCTCACTGCAGCGCAGCAGTCCTCCCTCCTCACTGCAGCGCAGCAGTCCTCCCTCCTCACTGCAGCGCAGCAGTCCTCTCTCCTCACTGCAGCACAGCAGTCCTCCCTCCTCACTGCAGCACAGCAGTCCTCCCTCCTCACTGCAGCACAGCAGTCCTCTCTCCTCACTGCAGCACAGCAGTCCTCCCTCCTCACTGCAGCACAGCAGTCCTCTCCTGCTCACTGCAGCACAGCAGTCCTCCCTCCTCACTGCCAGCGGAGCAGTCCTCCTTCCTCACTGCAGCGCAGCAGTCCTCCCTCCTCACTGCAGCGCAGCAGTCCTCTCTCCTCACTGCAGCACAGCAGTCCTCCCTTCTCACTGCCAGCGGAGCAGTACTCCCTCATGCCAAGACCTCTATCGAAGTTGCTGACTATATGACCTTGGGGACTTGGTCAACAGCTGAATCTGTGTTAAGTGTCACGTACTGGTGACTGCTCCTGGCTAGCTGGTTCGCACAGAGTGCAAGAGACCACAATGTCTAAGTATGCCAAGGGCAGTTACGTAGAGAGAGGCAAGCTGTGAGCAGATGGGGGTGGGGGAGGTGCCCAGGAGGTGGGGGTGCTCTGTCACCTCCCTCCATAGATTGGATGTAATTACCTCTCCAGCATGTGCCCAGATTACCTTCTGTGAAATTGAGTCTTTGACAGCAAACTGCCTGTTCAAAGTGACAGGAGCCAAAGGAGTGGGGGTGAGGCAGATGAGGCTGTATTTTTGCAAAGCCTGACCTTTTCAGATACAATTGAATATGGAAAGCATCTTTTGGATGCTCCTCCACCATCAGCACCACCACAGCAAAGACACGAACTCTATGGGTGGTTTTAGATCACACTTGCTTCTGCAGGCTCAGGGATTGCTTTCCCACATTAGCTATAAAGCACAGCATCCTGGCAATTCCGGGTAGGCTTTAAAAATATATATTACATTTATTTGTGTGTGCGTGGGGAGCAGGGTTTCTTGTATGCCACAGCACTTGCATTGAAGTTGGAGGAAAATGTGTGGGATTCTGGTTCTATCCTTCCTGTGGGTCTCAGGAATCAAACTCATGTCAAGAGGGTTTGCTGCCAAGAACCTTTGTGGACGAGCCATCTCAACAGCCCCAAGGACAGCTTTTTGATCTGCAGGAAGCAGAAGAGAGCATGCTTGGAGTCAGGAGGCCATCCTAGCAGAACCACTGGGGACTGTGAGCTTTAGGGATTGTCCTATCCCTAGGCAGCATCAGTTTCCTTCACTCACAGATGCAAAGGAAGCAGAAGAATCTAGCCACCTAAATCCCATCATAATAAGCAAGCCTCTAAATCTGACTTGGAAAACAATATTCCTCAGGCCTGTTGGGCAGGAGGGAGCAGATTTATTTCACTTGGTTCTTTTTTAACTGGCTTTATTTCATTTCCTCTGTGTGTGTGGCAGGAAGTGTGTATGTACATGCCTTGGTGCACGGGTGGAGGTCAGAGGACAATTTATGAGAGCCAGTTCTCTCCATGCATGTTCATGCGTGTCTCGGAGCTAGAAATCAGGTCTTCAAGCTTTGTGGCAAGTGTATTTACCTGCTGAGCCATCTTGCTGCCCTCCCCATCCCCACCCCTACCCCCACAGTTGGTGCTTAAAAGAGGAGCTGAGGCAAGTTACAAAAAGGAAGCTTTTACCTCTGGATAAGGAAGGGTTTTTTTGGCCCCTTGGACTTGCTGTTAAAATCTAAATAGGCTGCCTGTTAAAGGAATCAGTTTTGCTGGCAGAGAAGTGGTTATATTTCAGATGTGGTACTCCGAGCCACACATCCTGCTTCTTTGATCAAATTTGCAAAAGTCCAAAGCCCTATGTGCTCATGATTCAACGTGACTGACTGTGAGATCCTGCTGGACTAAGAGGGAGGAAGGAGGCTGTTAGTTTGCTTGTTTTCGACTGTGTCTCATTATATAGCTCTGGCTGGCCTGGAACTCTCTGTGTAGACTAAGCTAAATGCTGGGATTATAGGCGTGAGTCACCCCTTGAGGCTGGGTTTCTTGCCCTAGAAAGCAAAGTGCAGAGTTGGGTCTGCTGGGCAAGAGAGTGACTGGCTCCTAGAGACTGGGTGCCTTTCTGCAGTGAGTTTGGAATGTTCTTGCTTAGTCCCTCCACCCGCGCGCCTAGGACTCACTCCAGGTGCCAGCCCTTCCTTCTCCTGTAGGGCTGTCTTGTGTCAGGCAGGTCCTAAGGCCCACCTGTTTAGCTACTCTGCGGAACAAGTCCATTCCTCTCCCCCAAGGGAGAACAGCCAGCAAGCAAGCTTGGCAAGGAAATACAAGATGTATGAACTCCAAACCATTTTTCACTAGTGTGCCAGCCCCCTAAAGGTACTCTATGGGCAAAAGACATGAAATTAGCATTCTTGACCTTTGCCCCCAACAAATCACCACTCCCCTGACAAAGAGTGACTAGTCACAAAGCAGATTTCAGCAACTCCAGCCTCAGAGACACAACCACAACCTGGAGCTGTGCATTTTAAGAGACAGGTTTTGAACCATCTTGACCCCACCCCCACCCCCACCGCTGTAAGTATATTTGGCCTTCTAATGTGCATTCCTCACAGAGAAAACATTCAATCCCATACTCTACTTCCAATAATCCTTCACACTGGCAGGGAGGGGCGACCTATTGACAATCAGCAAAGCTGAATTCCATGAGCCTGTGCTTAAATCAGTGACTCAGTGCACTTCTGGAACATATGTGGCAGGTAAGTGGCTTGGGGAGGAAGCTCAGTTGGTAGAGTGCTTGCCAAGAACGCACAACGCCCTGGATCCAATGCCCAACACTACATTAATAGGCCTTGGTAGCACATGCCAGCCATCCCAGCCATCTCAGCACTGGGGAGGTGGGAGATAGATGCAAAAGGACAAGGAGTTCAAATTCATCCTTGGTTACAGCAAGTTCAAAGCCAGCCTGGGCTATGTGAGATCCTGTCTCAAAAAAGGTGTCAGGGTTCCAACAGAAATCTCAGATCCAGGTTTAAGTTGTTATTCTCTGTCTAGTAAATTGTATGCCTAGTATGCATAAGACCCTGGGTTCCATGCACAGCACTGGAAAAATAAAACTGTAAACTCAGGTGCTATCGCTCCACTGGGCAGAGCAGTATTTATAGGTAAGAAAGCTGGGGCCTACAATCTCCCTTTCTGACCATCTTGAACCAAATAGAGGGCACCAAGATCATAAAAACAACGTCTCATTGGCTGTTGGAAGGCATACAGCCTTAGAAGGTCAAGGAAGGCTTCACTCTAAACCCTCCATCGGCTCCCACGCTCCCTGGTCATTAAGCCACACATGTTTGTTTGTTTGTAGAGACAGAGTTTCCCTGTGTTGTTTTGGAGTCTGTCCTGGAACTCGCTCTGTAGACCAGGCTGGCCTCAAACTCACAGGGATCCGCCTGTGTCTGCCTCCTGAGTACTGGAATTAAAGGCGTGGATCACCAATGCCAGCAAGCCACACACATGTGGCTGAGATGTGGTCTTCTACCTCTAGATCTTTCTCCAGCACTATAGGAACAGGTGGCTACTGTGGTAGCTCAATAATTCAAATTTTCCTGAGTGTTGTCGCTGTGTGATTTCAGAAAGATTTTTTTTTTTTTTGTGATTGTTAGATTCATTTGCTAGTTGTTTTAATTTTTGTTGTTTTGAGACAGAATTTTGCTGTGCATCCCAGGCTGGCCTTGAACTAACTATGCAGGTCATATTAACCTCACACTTGCTTCAATCAACCCTTGTGCCTTAGACTTCCCAGTGCTAAGATTACAGGCTGAACAAGGCCGAGTTTCAATGGTTTCTCAGGTTTTCTTCTTTTAATGTCCCTCCTTGTCATCTCTCGCTCTAATCTTTTTTAAAAGTAGAATACCTGCAGCTGGCAAGATAACTCAGTGGGTAAAGGGTATTTACTGCCACAAAGTTCAAGTCCCCGGACCTGCATGATGGAAAGAGACAGTTCATGCCCACAAGTTTTCTTCTGATCTCTACACATGGACTGTGGTGCTTCCATCGAAAGAAATAAGTAAAGAGGAAGTCCTTGACAGATGTTTGGTTGCATTTGTGCCCTTCAGTAATCCCAGTACTTGGGAAGCTGAGGAAGGAAGAGTTCATTCAATGCCACCTTGGCCAATAGAGTGAGAGTCTGCAATAGAGATGGACAGGGAGGGAAAGAGAAACAAGGCAGAGAGACATGTACACACAGAGAGAGACTGACTTAGAAAAGATAGAACAAAAGAGAAAAAAAACACATAGGAATGTTCTAACACTGGGCATATCCCAACTTGTCTCTGTCTTTTTAATTTAACTAAGCTTGTCACCTGGGTCCCTTGCTTCCTCTCTTGCTGGCCCAGGACCCCTGTCAATGCACTTCCATGAGTGGGTACAGAGCAGGAGTTGCTTTGTTGATTTTCTCTCAGCCAGCAATCACCATCTTCCCGGTGGCCTTTGAGGGCTTCTCCAGGAACCCTTAGACATGGGCAGGACTCAGCTGATCTCTGAATTTATGACAGCCATATTCCAGAGCTGAGCCCTTGGAAGGAGAGCTCGGGTGGGGGTGGTCGTGGCTATAGGTATACCTACTCTGCTCCTGCAATAATGGATATGATCGAGATAACTAATCAAATGTGATACTGAGAGGTGGAGGATATATCTATCATGGGTGGAATCCAACTAGTCTAGCATGTGCAAGGCCTGGGTTCTATCCCCACACTGCAACAAAACAAAAAGATGAGATTCAGTACAGAATTGATTATCTTGTAAGTGTGGATAACAGAGGGGATATTGGAAGGTGATACATTACCATTTGTTGAGAGGCTGGCTGAGTGGTACTTATTTGTGTCTGGGCGTTTCCTTACGGTATCTTGTATACTCTTAACAAACTTATGGTAATGATGAGGCCACAGATGTGAGTTGTATGAGACAACATCATACAACTGTTTTACCATGGCTCCTGTGTCCACCACTTCAGCACCTGTGTCCCATGGGCTTCAGCATAGCATGCCCAATGGCCAACACTGCCCCATAGGGAAGAAGATGCCAACAGAAGCTTCAGATTTCTGTGCTCATGTCTGTTGCCATGGGAAGGGCTTGAGCTGCTGTGCTCATCTGATTGGTGTTTTACCTGACTTTTCCTGAGTTTTCCCCCTCCCCTAACACACACACATTCCCAGGAAAGTCTTTAGAGGGCATAGCTGCCCCTTTGACTTCCCTCTTCCATCCAGGCTGGAACTCTTATCCTGGGATCCAACCCTCCCCGGAAGCAGGAATCTATGTGCTAATGTGTTAATCCTCCTATTCAAAAGGTCGTTACTTCCCTACTGTGGGGACCAGCGGCAGTCTATACCCACCCCCTTACAGTATTTCTGTCCTGGGGTGAGCC